CATTTGGGCACAAATCTTAAACGCTCGACGATACGGTTACGATATTCGGGACGTGGGGGGGTAACCGAAAACGAGTTGGGATGTCGAAGCTGGGGGTCAAAGGTCAAAGGTCAAGAGGTGTAAAAGAAGGGGAACATTCCCTCCTTAACTTAAGGTATAGGGAGGAAATGCAGATTGCGGCACAAATCTAAACGTCTCGACCTAGGCTCGTGATAGTTGGTGTATAGGCATCACGGTAGGAAAAGCCATCACTGTGTGAAATTGGAGGTACCAGTCAAAGGTCAATGGGCACAGGGCAGATTTTAGACATTTTCTGAGGCATGGTCTGACGGAGCGATGTGAAAACTTTTTTGTTTCAGCGTGACCTCTATCATTTTTTATGGCTTTATTGAAGGACATGAATGCTGCTGTTCGCACTGACGTGCGAAGAGTAAGTGTCTGATAACCTTTTGAGTCCTCAAGAAGGAGGGTTAAACATCGGATTTGTTGACTGTTAACATGGAGTGAACTGGCTTTTGCGTATTAGAAGCCTGCTACCCCCACCCTCCGCCCTTCGCCCCTCCCCCAGCCCCTCCCCCCGCCCCTTCCCCCACCCCTGCCCTCCACCCTTTCCCCGCACCCTCCATTCTGCGATTAGGGGCGTGTCTATACAATGATGTGTAGCGCAAGCTGCGAGTCTTGCATATCTGCGCCTAACCAAATGTGGGTACTACGCACGACTGAATATTAGTTAACGTTTATAATGCGTAGGCATACAGACCTCAGATGAGCCCAGACGCTCTGCGGCTCTTGTTCCTTGCGCAGTGTTCAATTGTTTGCTAACACACGACTTGTCTGGATTCATTACAGCACATATGTCGTTACGATTCCCAAGGTTGTTCGGCCCGGTCTCGACTACAGAGCTACCGTGAACATCCTCGAGACCATGCAGGATGCGGTTGCCGTGACGATACAGCTGCACAAGAACTCCACGAAGGCAGTTGGCGCCAGCAACGTGATTGCTGAGAAGTCGCAGAACTTTGAGCCAGGTATTGCATGTGGGTTCGCTGCCTACGCTCGATCGGCACGCCCGCTGGTTGCTTCTCCGCCATGCGCTCCCGCGCTGGCCATCTCACCTTCCTCTCTCGACCTGTCCCCCCTCTCGGTCTCGGGTTTGCTCTGCTCTTGCCTGCTGTGCTCTCTTCATCTCTCGCACTGCTTCTGTTCTCTCTTCTCTCTCTTCCCAATCTCCTCTCGTCCGTCGGCCGCTCTGTCCTCTCTGGGCCTTTCTGCTGCTCTCCACGACTTCCCCTCGAGCTCTCACACACGCTTCCTCCTCTCTCTCTTCTCTCTCTCTCTTACTCTCTCGCTCCTCTCGTGCGATCTCGTCTCCTCTTCTCCGTCTCTCCTCTCTCGCTTCTCCGTCTCTCTCTCTCTTCGGAGACATGTCTTTCTCTCGTTTCTCTCTGCTCTCGTCTCCTTTCACCTTCGCCCTCGTCTTTCTCTCTCACGCTTCCTCTCTGCTCACCTTCCGCCTTTCTCTCTCGCGCCCTCGCAGGTAAATCCTGAGGATGTGATTGTTAACGCCTGCGCCCACCGCTCGTTTCCGCAGCTGTTTCGTTCGCGTCGTGGGGTCGAATCAAAAGTTTAGCTTTGAAGAGGATGGGCATCGTCACCGTTCAGCTCTAAGCATCTCTCCGTCTTCGTTCAGACAGTACAGAGGCGATCTACAGAGGCCGAGCAGTACTAGGTGAGTGTGGTATTGCCTACTCAACGGGATCTATGACCCTAAGACGATGCTATGTTACGTCTCTGGTATGACAGGGCGTGAACTTATGAAAAGACTTCTGCTTCGCTGAAGAATTACATAACTAGAAGTATAGCTTTGCCTGAATACTGGTATGCTCGAGGTAGATATTACGTGAAAAACAATGACAGCTTGGGGTGGTTACGCGTAGAAGAAGTTTCAGGTTTTATTAGCTGGAGAGAGATAAATTAGGGCAAGTCGGGCGACGACAGCTGAGCGTCGGTCTAATTGTCGACTTGTCGCGTTGTTTGTTCTAGTTCACATGAGGGTCGTTCCGTCGGTCGATCCTCCTGACGCTGAGCCTCAACCCCCGTGGAACTGTTGACGAGTCGATCAGGTACTCAGAGTGAGCTTACTCTATCTCTATCTCTCGTCTCCTCTCTCTAATCTCTCTCCGTCTCGCTCGTCTTCCGTCTCTCTCTCTCTCTCTCCTCTCTCCTCTCTCTCTCTCTCCCCTCTCTCAGTCTCAAGGTCCTCTCTTCTCGTCTTCTCCTCTCCTCTCCTAATCTCGAGCATGACTGAGTCGTATTTTTTTATTGTTTTATAATCTCCAATTTCTAGAATATCGTCCATATAATCATTGTCATCTTCTAAAACTACAGACCATCCTCTGACCGCTGTGGAGACGTGCGCCGGGCCTCGAATTTGGCGCATGTCTCCACTGCGGACAGCGCTTCTTACTTGAACATCCCCGCGGTCGCGTGCGCATATCCCGCGGAACTTCGCGTCTCATCCGAGCGCAGCGCGCAGGATCAACAGCAAAGCTGTGCCATGCAATCTTGTATCATGTCTCTCTGGATTCGGTTGCCAGTGAGTTTATTAGAAGAATACCCGGCTACAGTACACGTCAGTTGAGCGCTGTCGCTCTGCGGCACTTGTTTTATCTCGGCATGCTCTGCCGGTCTCCCACCACTTCTCACTCGGCAGCTCTCTCGGTCTTCCTCAACCCATTCACTGTCCCTCTCAGTCATCCGCGCCATCTTCAGTCTATCCTAGCAGGAGACTGCATGTAGGTGAGAGTGTTACTCCCTGCTCAGCGTAGATAGTTTGACATCTGATGTAGGCACTGAGGTCCCCTGAACGGACATCAGCATGTTCATTCAATTAATCTCGTGGCCTCGCCCTCTTACGTGACGAATGATTCTCAGTGCATCTACATGCTGCAGGTTTAGCTGCTGTTGCATATATTTGCTCGCTCGTTCACTGGATAATGTCGGTGGTTTTGTCTTCCAGGGAGAAGCAGTCAAGAAGTCGTTCACGGTCGATGAGTATGGTGAGTGTACTTATACTATTGGGGGGGCTTGCGCGGTGTCTCCTGTTTGCTGCGCGTAGTACCAGAGTGCTTACATTAACTAGTGGTCTAGTTACAATGGTTGTGTCAACCGATGCCAGTGCAGTGTCACCGTTGTCACTGTCATTGGTGTCACTGTCATTGATATCACTGTCACCGATGTTTTTGTCATTGATGTCATTGTCACTGATGTCATTGTCACTTATGTTATTGTCACCTATGTCACTTGTGTTTCAGTGCTTCCTAAGTTTGAGGTGACTGTGGACGTTCCAACGTACTACTATGGTACAAAGATCATGGCAACAGGAAAAGTCGGTGCAAAGTAAGCTGCCTACCTTCTGTTTGCTTTGCACTTGATAGATCTATGTTAAAATTTCATAAAGTGTTACACGTGTGTTTGTGCGCGTGTGTGCGTGCATGTATGCGTGCGTGCGCGTACGAGCGTGGGGGGTAGCTAGCACTGCTTGGCAGCAGCTGAAGCAGCAGCAGCAGTAGCAGCAGCAGCAGCAGCAGCGCATGCGCTCGCTCCTACTAACCAGCCAGCTATGTAACGTGATAGCAGTGTTCAGGAGGTGTGCACACACATGTAACATGCCTGTTTGCACTTCTCCCTGTTTACCCTAGGTACACCTATGGTAAGTCGGTGGCTGGCACTGCTGTGGTGGCCCTGACCGTGCCGAGTGGGTATCAACAGCAGGAGAAAAAGTACGAGCAGACCGTGGAGGTACGTTATCGATGTCGTTAACACGGCCGTTAAATTGACTACGTCACGAAATTTCTATGGTAAAATTTGTAAAATGTTTGTTGCCATTTTTTAGCTCATCTGACATAGTCAGATGCAGCTTGTAGAATCGCACGGTCGTCCGTCCATCCGTCCGTCCGTCCGTCTGTGCGTGCGTGCGTCCGTCCGTCCGTCAACAGTTGGGCACAAATCTTAACCGCTCGACGTACGGTCACGATATTCGGCACATCGGGGGGGATCGTCAAAACGAGTTGGGATGTCGAAGCTGGGGGTCAAAGGTCAAAGGTCAAGAGGTGTAAAAGAAGGGGGAACATTCACTCCTTAACTTAAGATATAGGGAGGAAATGCAGAATTGCGGCACAAATCTAAACGGCTCGACCTAGGCTCGTGATAGTCAGTGTATAGCATCATGGTAGGAAAAGCCATCACTGTGCCGAAATTGGAGGTCACAAGTCAAAGGTCAATGGGGCACAGGGCAGATTTTAAACATTTTCTGAGGACATGGTCTGACGGAGCGATTGAAAAACATTTTTTGTTTCAGCGGTGACCTAGCATTTTTTTATGGCTTTT